TTTATCAATATTATAATTATGCTATATTATCAACATTATTATTACTATTATACATCATCGTCATGACTATTATTATTATTATTATTATTATTATTATTAAATTGAAGCATTAGATTTGGAGCAAGGATATGCAAATCTGTCATTTTTTTCTCCTACTTCCAGAAATGGCTTCGAGCTAAATAAGCCTGTAGGTCTTTTCGAGGTGGATCTAATTGGAAACACGGGGATTGGCGCTACAGATTCACATATAAATTATTTTACCAAATCTTTATGCTGACCTGACATCTAGACTTCAGTCATTTTCTTCTTAGTGACTAAACTGCATGAATTTAAACCTTCTGCTAGACTGGCGGTTAGGTCTCACCGTTTTAATGTTGAACAAACTCAATGCAACCGTCAGTTCAATTCAGATAGTTTCTTTCTCGCTCTTTTCTCCTGTGGGAATCCTTTCCGATTCTTTGCTTTCCTGCTACACACAATCTTCAAAAATTTAAATGCAACGTTAATCGTCTTCTTCTGTCTTTTTTAAATACTGTAGTCCTTGGTATGAGGGTGAACTACATCCGGCAGCACTGATGCTGATCGGGAGATTAGAGGTTTTGAGGAGCGCGGAACCATTTCCTAATTGCTGTTGCTCCCAGGTTCCCTCTACCCGGGATGCTAGCACTTGTTTTGGTCCAGCTATGGACAGAATGGATCCCTTAAACAAAAACAAAACATTAGGAAAGTATAAAAATACATTTTTTTTAGTAAAAATGCCAGAAATATGTAGGCTTTCTTCAGGTATTATCCACACTCACTAACATACTTTTTGTTTTGAACCGAACCACATATTCAATTCAAGGGGAACGGGGGGGGGCATATATTTCTCATTCCTTTTTCCTTGCTTTGGACCAATTTTGTATCAGTCTTAAACTCACTAAACTTCTTCCACTCAGGTAAACCAAATAAATTTTCAGGACTACCCGAACCCGGGATTGAACACCTAACGATTTTAACCAATGCTTTTAAGCCAAGTGTCTCTTGGGGAATCTAGAGATATAAGAGCAATCCACGGATTAGAGGAAAGTTTGGTTCAATATTCCTAAAAGGTTACCGAAAGCAAAAAAAAAAAATAATAATATGAAGAAGGTTGGAGAGTCCAACGACCGAAGTATAATGTAGTGACCAAGACAAGATTGATGGTCTCAATAATTGGACATATAATAATGTTTATAGTTCTTCATTTAAAAAAAAAATCGGTAAGAGCCTAAAGGGTGAAGGTGTAAAAACCAAGATAAGAATTCTGGCCGGATAATAAGGCATATAAAACGACAATTCTTGAATCGCAGTATCTTTTGACAAATAACAAGTCAACCTAAAACAGAGTATGGTGCATGTCTGGCTAAAGTAAGAATTTGATGTTGTTTGTTGATTATTAATTTTTGTGATGTCGATGAGCACTCGTTTGAGACTTTTGTAATGTCAACAAATACTCATTGTCACTTTTGTAATGCTCTTTGTAGTAGAGACTTTGTAATCGCAGATACAACTTATAGTAACGCCGTTGAACACTACTCGTGTCAGACGCCTTCGAATAACACTCGCACTAACAGTTCTTTCTTTTTCTTTTTATGTGCCATATCCTTTCAGGACGTAGGCGATCATGGCTCTCCACCTCCATCTATCCCTTGCAGCTCACAGCAAGCATCTTCCCTCTGCTTCCTCCCCCAGACCACGTTCTGTCATCTGCCTGCTGAAGCTCGTCTGGTATGTCTTTCACTCTATTTGACCCGTGAGTATCAGATTCTCCAGGCCCTCCTTCCTCATTATGTGTCCCAGAACCTTCAGCTGCCTCTTCCTGATGTTAAGTGTAAGCCTCCTCCTTGTTTGAAACCTCTCTAAGACCTCATCGTTGCTTACATGCTCGGTCCATGATATCCTTAGCATCCTTCTTGTTTACTAATCATCAGAGAATGACGCTTTGTTTTCCCTTGTCTGTCTTTGTCTGTCTCTTTCCAGGCCCCTTCTATTCGACCCGTGGTAGTATCAGATTCTCCAGGCCCCTCCTTCTTTCCTCATCAGAACGTCCCAGAAACTTCAGCTGCCTCTTCCTAATGTTAAGAAATAGTATAGTTAATAGTATAGAGAATAGCAGTGCGTATATTAATAGAGGATAGATTAGAAATGCAGATCCGTATAGTATAGAGGATAGATTAGAAATAGCTATCCGAATAGTAATAGAGGATAGACTAGAAATAGCGATCCGAATAGTAATAGAGGATAGACGAGAAATAATAATCACTTAGTCCTCACGATACAGCCTATTTATGCGTTTCCTTTACGATCACGTGATCTTCTTAATTCAATAATGGGATCGCTTGTGTTTGCACGCTGGCGATCTATGTTCAAACTCAAATGTCGGCAGTGGCACTTTATTCCTATATAACATTAATGTTTCATTAAGACGGATTATATATAAGGGTGTTTCATTAAGAAGGATCAAAGTCAGCATTAAATAAATCAGTGATAAATCAGGCGAAAATTTATTTATTTCTCTATTGGATCATCTTATTTAAGTCATGGCAATTATGTGTGAAAAGTTATATCGCCCAAATGCCCGCCAAACATTAGACGCTTAATCGGTCCAATTTATTGGAACACCCTTTAGAATTCATAAACTACATTATTTTCTAGATAGAGTGCATTTTCGAATTGTTGAATTACACCGGCGAATCTGTCTATATTTCTGAGATGAGGTATTATGTACACTATTTACATTATTCGGACTATTGTCCTCATCTTTGTTGACATATTTAACATAACGTTTCGGCCGTTGTACGCTCCGGCCTTCTTCAGGTGGTTCGAATGTCGTTAATATTTATTCTAGTATCTTTTCTTGACAATTCTTAGTTTGAGTCGAAAGTTTTTAATGTATTCTCCCAGCTATTTTGTCTGGAATTACATGCAAATCATCTTCTCATTGTCAGAATGTCTAGAAACAGTCTACACAAGTGAGCGAAATAAAGGGTTCAGTTCAACATTCCAACCACCTGAAGAAGGTCTAGAGCGCACAATAGCCGAAACGTTGTAATAAATATGGCGACAAAGATGAGGACAATAGTCCGAATCATGTAAATAGTGTATACCGGTGAATTATATTTATAGTTAATAGCTTTTTTTGTGTTGTTTATAATTAAGTTTTATCTGATAACAATAACTCAATTTAATGGAGTCTTCATTTTTCTTTATATTGCGTTAGTTGCGTCTGATATTTTTTCCAGATTTCTTTAAAGCTGATTTTATTTCTTCATCAACAGAATGGCCTGGGAACTTATTGTTAAGAAGTGTTTATTTTGTGTTGCCAAAATTTAAATTTACTTGAAATATCATGAGAAATCAACTTGATATAAACAAAAATAAAGACTCCATTAAATGATTTTAGCAGAAACAGATGAATTCTAAAAACCGACTTCTAAGGTGACGTTTCCCCGATTACTAGAATCATAATCGGTTCAAGGTTAGGGTTAACCGTCATCTTCATTCCTGTCCGCCCAAATTACTTCCTAACATCTCGTTTATTTAAAATTCCAAACATATTTTTTTTGTAATTGTAATCCCGACGTAATATATATCTCTCCCGTCGAATTCGACGTATGAGGGTCAAGCAGATCAGTTCCCAGGAAAACGACAGCCCGACACCAGCACATGAGGTTTGATTATAGTGGTGAATGTTTCGTGCAGGACCATCCACACTTTTTGAAGGGATTAATACAGAGACCCGGTGCACTACGCGCAACAAGGACCCCAAACGACCCTCCGCAGGTTTTGAATTCAGAGTTGTCCTTCTCCTAGACCAGTTGTCGTCAATATATATATATATATATATATATATATATATATATATATATATAGATGTGTGTGTGTGTATGTGTGTGTGTGTACATTATATATATATATATATATATATATATATATATATATATATATATATATATATATATAGGAACAAGTAATCCCCACAACTCTAAAAGATTATTTACTTTTTTCTTAGACATTTTATTTTAAATGACAAATATAATTTTTTAAATTCAAAAACTGTAATCCCAGTATAATGTATATCTACTATATTACCATAATCAGATGTATTTTAAATTTAACGACCATTATTTGTGTGTCTGTGTCTGTATATATATATATATATATATATATATATATATAGTGATTGAAAATAGATATGATAACGCATTTCGACATTCAAGTCTTCATCAGATCCGAAAACGAAAGAAGCAAATGTGTGTTAGTTATTTCGGGTGTATGCTTAAATAAAGAATCATAGTGCCTTTTTCACTAAGCTAACGTTTCTCATGTTTAAAGAACAAAGAAATTGAGAGACTTTTTAAAAAGTCGTTAATATTTATTCTGGTATCTTTTCTTGACAATTCTTAGTTTGAGTCGAAAGTTGTTAATGTATTCTTCCAGCTATTTTGTCTGGAATTACATGCAAATCATCTTCTCATTATCAGAATGTCTAGAAAGCAATTCATTTAGACATTTTTTCTGAAATCAATCCAAGACAAAGCATGATACATGAATACTTGAATGACGAAATACATTATCAAATATTTTAAATCAAGTTTATTTCATAAAAAATGTTTCCATTTTCTCGAGATTTAAAAACTCTGTCGTGATTTTTATATCCTAATTTTTAATCAACGTCTTCTATTTTCATTAACTGACCATTTCTTCTTCATTCATTTCTTTTTCCTTCATATTTTTTCTTAACCTATTTTTCTTTTTTTTTTCTCTTTTCATTCTTTGACCATTTTTCTTTCATTCTTTGCCCCTTTCATCCTTCCATTGCTTCGTTTTTATCTCTTTCTTTATTTTCTTCTCTTTTCATTCTTTGATCATTTCTTCTTCATTCGAATCTCTTTCTTTATGTTTCTTCGCTTATTTATCTTTCGTTATTTCTTTCTCTTTTCATACTTTGATCATTTCTTCCTCATTCGAATCTCTTTATGTTTCTTCGCTTGTTTCTCTTTCGCTATTTTCTTCTCTTTTTATTCTTTGATCATTTCTTCTTCATTCCTTTCTCCTTCCTTATTTTTCTTCGCTTGTTTCCCTTTCGCTATTTTCTTCTTTTTTTATTCTTTGATCATTTCTTCTTCATTCGTTTCTCCTTCCTTATTTTCTTCGCTTATTTCTCTTTCGCTATTTTCTTCTCTTTTTATTCTTTGATCATTACTTATTCATTCGTTTCTCCTTCTTTATTTTTCTTCGCTTGTTTCTCTTTCTTTATTTTCTTCTCTTTTTATTCTTTGATCATTTCTTCTTCATTCCTTTCTCCTTCTTTATTTTTCTTCGCTTGTTTCTCTTTCTTTATTTTCTTCTCTTTTTATTCTTTGATCATTTCCTCTTCATTCCTTTCTCCTTCCTTATTTTTCTTCGCTTGTTTCTCTGTCTTTATTTTCTTCTCTTTTTATTCTTTGATCATTTCTTCTTCATTCGTTTCTCCTTCTTTATTTTTCTTCGCTTGTTTCTCTTTCTTTATTTTCTTCTCTTTTTATTCTTTGATCATTTCTTCTTCATTCGTTTCTCCTTCTTTATTTTTTTCTTCCTTGTTTTCTCTTTCGCTATTTTTCTTCTTTTTTTTGTTTGATCATTTTCTTCTTCATTCGTTTCTCCTTCCTTATTTTCTTCGCTTATTTCTCTTTCACTATTTTCTTCTCTTTTTATTCTTTGATCATTTCTTCTTCATTCGTTTCTCCATCTTTATTTTTCTTCGCTTATTTCTCTTTCTTTATTTTCTTCTCTTTTTATTCTTTGATCATTTCTTCTTCATTCGTTTCTCCTTCCTTATTTTTCTTCGCTTGTTTCTCTTTCTTTATTTTCTTCTCTTTTTATTCTTTGATCATTTCTTCTTCATTTTTCTCCTTCCTTTTTTTCTTCCTTTGTTTCTCTTTTTTATTTTTTCTTTTTTTATTCTTTGATCATTTCTTCTTCATTCGTTTCTCCTTCTTTATTTTTTTTTCGCTTGTTTCTCTTTCTTTATTTTCTTCTCTTTTTATTCTTTGATCATTTCTTCTTCATTCGTTTCTCCTTCTTTATTTTTCTTCGCTTGTTTCTCTTTCTTTATTTTCTTCTCTTTTATTCTTTGATCATTTCTTCTTCATTCGTTTCTCCTTCTTTTTTTTCTTTCGCTTGTTTCTCTTTCTTTTATTTCTTCTCTTTTATTTTTGATCATTTCCTCTTCATTCCTTTCTCCTTCCTTATTTTCTTCGCTTGTTTCTCTTTATTTTTCTTCTCTTTTTATTCTTTTTGATCATTTCTCTTCATTCCTTTTCCTTCCTTATTTTCTTCGCTTGTTTCTCTTTCTTTTATTTTCTTCTCTTTTTATTCTTTGATCATTTCCTCTTCATTCCTTTCTCCTTCCTTATTTTTCTTCGCTTGTTTCTCTTTCTTTATTTTCTTCTCTTTTTATTCTTTGATCATTTCCTCTTCATTCCTGTCTCCTTCCTTATTTTTTTTCTTCGCTTGTTTCTCTTTCTTTATTTTCTTCTCTTTTTTATTCTTTGATCATTTCTTCTTCATTCGTTTCTCCTTCTTTATTTTCTTCGTTTATTTCTTTTTCTTTTTTTTCTTCACTTTTTATTCTTTGATCATTTCTTCTTCATTCGTTTCTCCATCTTTATTTTTCTTCGTTTATTTCTCTTTCTGTATTTTCTTCTCTTTTCATTCTTTGATCATTTCTTCTTCATTCGTTTCTCATTCCTTATTTTTCTTCGCTTATTTCTCTTTCTTTTTATTCTTCTCTTTTTATTCTTTGATCATTTCTTCTTCATTCGTTTCTCCTTCCTTATTTTTCTTCGCTTATTTCTCTTTTTTTTATTTTCTTCACTTTTTATTCTTTGATCATTTCTTCTTTATTCCTTTCTCCTTCTTTATTTTTCTTCGCTTATTTCTCTTTCTTTAATTTCTTCAGTTTTTATTCTTTGATCATTTCTTCTTCATTCGTTTCTCCTTCCTTATTTTTCTCCGCTTATTTCTTTTTCTTTTTTTTCTTCACTTTTTATTCTTTGATCATTTCTTCTTCATTCGTTTCTCCATCTTTATTTTTCTTCGCTTATTTCTCTTTCTTTATTTTCTTCTCTTTTTATTCTTTGATCATTTCTTCTTCATTCGTTTCTCCTTCTTTATTTTTCTTCGCTTATTTCTCTTTCTTTATTTTCTTCTCTTTTCATTCTTTGACCATTTATCCTTCATTCGTTTCTCTTTCCTTCCTTCTTTCCTTCCTTCCTTCCTTCTTTCCTTCTTTCCTTTCTTCCTTCTTTTTCTTCGATTTTTCTCTTTCTTTATTTTCTTCTCTTTCCATTCTTTGATTCTTCGCTTTTTTTCTTCTTTGATCGTTTATCCTTCATTCACTTTCATCTCACTTTTCTTCTTTTTCTTTCCCTTCTCCTCATTTTTTGACTCTCTTGCGCTCCCACTCCCTATTCTCTGAGCCTCTTTCTGACTGTTTTTTTCATTCTTGGATCTACATTCTTCCGTGCCCTTCCTTCTTTCTCCATCGTTTGATTACTTCTCTTTCCTTCATTCTCTTTCCCTTCTTCTCATTCTTTAACATTCTTACTCCCTCACTCCCTTCCCTATTTTAGTACCTCTTTATTTCCTTGCCTCCATCCCAGTCACAGATTCTCTTTCTTTCCTTCTTTCTTTTTCCGCTTTCTTACAGTTTTTTCTCATTCATTGATTTTTCCTTCCTTTTCTTTTCATTCTTTAATCCTCTTTCTTTTCCGTCTCCCTATTCTTTCATCTTCTTTATTTCCTGGCTTCTCATTCTGCGAATCTCTGACTTTTCAGTCTTCTAATTCTTTCTAGCACATCTTCCTTTTTTTCTTTCATTGAAACTTTTTTCTTTCTTCTCATTCTTTGACCCTCTCTCTTTCCTGACCTCTCATTCTTTCAGCGTTTTTCTTTCCTTTTCTTTCTTCTCATTATTTGACCTTTTTTTTCTTTCTTTCCAGTTTTCTTCTTCTTTGAATATTTTCCTTTCCTTTCTTCTCTCTATTTGACAGACTTCCCTATCCCCTCATTCTTTGGTCATCTTATTCTTTTAACTTTTTCGTTACTTTCTTCTCATTTTTAGACATATTTCTTTCCTTTCCACTCATTCATTTAACGTTTCTCTTTCCTTTCTTCCCATTCTTTGAGCATTTTTTTTCCTGGCCATCCCTTCTCTGAAACTTTTTCATTAATTTCTTCTCATTCTTTGACACTTTTTCTTTCCTTTTTTTTCAAATTTTGAACATCTTTCTTCTCTATCTTTTCATTCTTTAACCATCTTTCTTTCAAATCTTATTCGTTGAACCGTTTTCCTTCCATTCTCCTCAATCTTTAACAATCATTCTTTCCAGTTCACTTATTCTTTGAAGCATGTTCTTTCCTTTCTCATTTTTTGACCATCTTTCTTTCCTGTTTACTTATTCTTTGACCTTTCTTCTCCCTTTCTTTTTATTCTTCGACGATTTTTTTCCGCTTTCTCACTTTTTAAACTTTTCCTTCCCTTTCTTTTCCTTCTTTAACCATCTGTCTTTCCGATCCTATCATTCTTTGAAACATTTTATTTCCATTTTTCTCATTCTTTCACCATTTTTCTTTCCTGTTCTCCACTTCCTTGAACCTTTTCCGTTACTTTCTTCTCATTCTATGACCCTCGGTCTTTCTTTTCATTCCAGTCTCATTCGTTGGACCGTTTTTCTTCCATTCTTCTCAATCTTTAACAATCAGTCTTTCCGAAATATGTTCTTTACTTTCTCATTTTTTAACCAACTTTCTTTACTGTTTACTTATTCTTTGACCTTTCTGCTCCCTTTCTTTTTATTCTTCGACGATCTTTCTTTTCCTCATACGAACTTTTTAACCTTTTCCTTCCCTTTCTTTTCATTCTTTAACCTTTCCGATTCTCTCATTCTTTGAAACAATTTATTTCCTTTCTACTCATTCTTTGACCAGATTTCTTTCCGGTGCCGTTATTTTTTTTAACCTTTTGCCTCCTTCCTTCTCATTCTTTGACCATCTGTTTTTCCGGTGCATTTACTCTTTGAACCTTTTTCTTTCCTTTCTTCTCATTCTTTGACCATTTTTCTTTCCTGTTCTCCACTTCCTTCAACCTTTTTCGTTACTTTCTTCTCATTCTTTGACACTTTTTCTTTCTTTTTAATTCTTTAACCATCTTTCTTTCCAGTCTTATTCATTGAACCGTTTTCCTTCCATACTTGTCAATCTTTAACAATCAGTCTTTCCGGGGCACTTATTCTTTGAACCATGTTCTTTCATTTCTCATTTTTTGGCCATCTTTCTTCCCTGTCTACTTATTCTTTAACCTTTCTGCCTCCTTTCTTTTCATTCTTCGACCATCTTTCTTTTCCTCATTCTCATTTTTCAACCTTTTCCTTCCCTTTCTTCTCATTATTTAACCATCTGTCTTTTCGATTCTCTCATTCTTTGAAACATTTTATTTCCTTCCTTCTCATTTTTTGACCATCTCTCTTTCCGGAGCACTTATTCATTGAACTTTTTTTTTCCCTTTCCTCTCAAACTTGGGCCATTTTTCTTTCCTCTTCTCCACTTCCTTGAACCTTTTTCGTTACTTTCTACTCATTTTTGACCTTCTTTCTTTCTTTTCATTCTTTAACCATCTTTCTTTCCCGTCCTCTCATTCTTTGAATCGTTTTCCTTGCATTCTTCTCATTCTTTGACCATCTCTCTTTCCAGTCCTCTTATTCTTTGAATTTTTCTCTAAATATCCTTC